GCATTACTTATATCCTTTAACTGAAGGATATAAGTGTGTGGCCAGGGAGGAAAAAGGACTAGTGACACTGGCTGACAGATAAAACAGAAAGTGATGTGCTGTAAAATTAGTGCCACAATGATGACAATGTAGCAGGTTTGTTTACAAGTTGGTATTGCTGATTTAGCAGGCGTGGGTATTACAGGTCTATTTTTAAAAAGCAAAAAGAGGATTTTAAAAGAAATAGTATATTTGACCTCTCAGTATGTAGGAGAAAGGGTACGATGGGCTGTGTGTGTGAGGTGGACCCTAGTAAGACTGAAACTATTCAGCAAGGACAGAGAAATCCTCAGAACATTATGACCAAACCAGTCGATCAGTCTCCACTTTCTTTTCTTTTTTTCTTTTTTTTTTTTTTAAAGCCCTGAAAAGTTCTCTCGAAGCAGAGTTTAGCAGAAGAGTGTCTATACTGTGCTATCTGAACGGAGCAGCTTCTACACTAGAATAACCCTGTTGACTTAAAGGGACCATTTTATGGAGATCCAAATCTGAGCTCACAAGTTTAAACAAAAGCCATACAAATGAGAGTTTCTCTATCTGTAAATGCAATCCAGTGCAAGCTTGTACCGAAGTGGGCAGTGCTGCTCTCTCCTACTGTACCAATGTAGGGCAGGAAAAAGCTTTCTAGAAATGACCCTGCTTGAAGTGTGACATAGGTCTATACAAGCGGTCATGGAGCTCAATGGACACAAGTTCAGTCTGACTTAACTTTGTTTAGGAAGAAGCATTGGCATGTAAAAATAATTCTCTAGCTGACCATAGGGCCCTGCTTTTTTTGTCCAGCAGAAAACATTAATTAAAGCAAATGGTTACCCATATCCCTAAATATGTTTTAATGTTTTTAAATCTGTAGATGTATAAATTAAAACTTGTAAAGAAGGGTGCAACCAGTTTCGTATTTAGGTTCTGGAGGTTGAAATGAATACTGATTGATTGCTGTTCCTCCTGAAACTTCAGCTAATGGCTATTAACCTTGCTTCAGACAAAAAAAAGGAGAAAAAGCAAAGTCAAACTTGAACTGGGAAATGTGCTTGTCTGTAATAATAAAAAAGTCCCGTGAGGTCTGAAAAGTGTTTTATAAAGCCTAGGGAATGTCTCTCAAGGTGTCATCTTCAAATACTACTACTTTGGCGCTCCTGAAAGTAGCCCTGAAATTCCCTGTTTTTTACTCCTGTGCACAGAAAACAAGTCCTTAATGGTTGATGCTCTCCAGACCCTTTCTAAGAATTCTTTACCTTACCAGTAACCTTTTCTGCACTGTCAAGAAATCTATGGTTTCAGGCAGCAGGCAACTCTGAAATCTCCCAGGTCCTAATCTAAATGTAGAGCTTTATTAATCACAGAGCATACGGGTCTGGGTTTGCTGGTTAAAACAAACTCTGGCGTTCTGAGATACTGATTTGTTGGCATAGGCCCAACTAAAGTTTCAAGGAAGAGGTGCAAAAAATAGCTGGAAAATGTTTTTCATGCATCTGCAGCAGCCATCACTGCTTTACCCTATGAAGAGGGCCCCACTGAACACTACATTTTAAGAATGTTTTCATGGGTAATTAAGACAATTAGGCTTACATGAATGATCTGGAAGAAGGTGCTGGTAGACGTGTTGAAGAGTTATATTTTGTAGTCTCTCACTGCACTTTTCACTTGGAGGTGGGTGACTGATACTCAAATAGCACTGGAATCTGCTTGGGGTACTTTGCTACCATTGCCTTCCTGCCTTTCCCTTCCCAGACAATTGCCTTTTAAAATGTAACTGGAAAGATCAAAAGCATTATTACTGTAAAAATCACTGCGAAATTAAAAGGGATAGGAATTGGCCATTTGTGTAGCAGGTTCTTTTCATGTCTCTGCATAGACTTGCCAATTACGGTTCTCTTTTCTCAGTCAGAGATGTTAACCTGTGCTGCTTTTATCTCAGGATCCCTGCCCAGGTTTCTAAAGTGATTTGTGGTCATTTGAGATCTTCCTCCATTTTTGTCACTTGATCCTGGGAGGAAGAGTGGCACTGAAGGGAAATGTCTTGCTATTTATAGGCTGTCTCAGTGTTATGTCTCCTGCGGTTATACAGAGGAGGCAGCTTACTGTCTATTTACTTTACTTTTAGACCACCCATCTCTCAGCCTGAGTTTCTTGCTCTGGACTTGCTGATGAGAAATTTTGTCTGATTTCTTTTGTCACAAGTGCATGATATTGATCAATGGGGTCTGGTCCAGTCCCTTCTTTGATGCACCCTTGGGGGTCCTGGTTGCTGAACATCTAGTCTGACATGGCTGGGTGGCAATAGGGATCCTTTTAAAGGATCCAGAGCATGGGGTGAGGCTGGGGGCTTGATGCGTGCCTATATCTTATGCTTTATAGGGGCAGGATGTAGGTAGAGCAAGTGCTTGCCACAGGGAATTGGGACTTGCTCCTGGGTACGGGAGATTGCTACGCTTGCCCTGTCTGTCTTTCAGTTATCCACCTAAGCTTCTCTGCTATGTTTATCATAGTTCTATTAGCTCATAATTTTGGCTTTAGTCAGATTTTTACTGCATTATAGAAGAGGATCTGATAAACTGAAAAGTAAAAATGAACACTTAACTCCTTTTTAAATGCTCAGACTGAACTCGATTAATCTCTTGATAGAAGGCATTCAGCTCCAGAAATGAAGTTGTGAAGTACTTGGTTAAAACTCTCTCAACTTCCTTAAATTTTACTTGATTCAACCCTGGTTCACTGGTAATAGTGATATAAATACAGAGTTTATAGTAACAACAACAGAGGTAAAATCCTGACCCTCTTGAAGCCAACGGGGAATCCTTTACCCAAGATTTCATACTAGATACCTCACTGTGGCCACTGTATCCCAAAAGTTTTTCTCTGGAATTTTTAGTGGAGCAGGAAAAACCATGGGGATTTCTCAGACTGGAGGGACATGCAGGGCAGTCTTCCCCTGAAACAGCTAGAGAGTATTTGCAGTTGCTTAGCATTGACTCTGCACTTGCTGACATTACAAAGTTGTCATGAGAAGGTTTGCTGGGAAAGGGTCTTACCAAACCTAGGCACTAGAATGTCTGTTCCCTTCTGGGTGAGAACGACTGGTGGGATGCAGCTAAAGAATGAAGCTATGTTCTGCCCATCTAGTTGTGCCTTAGAGGGAAATGAAGTGAGGACAGAGCTTCCCCTCTTCTGAAAGGGTGATCGGCACCTTTGTTGGCACTGTTGTGAGCTTGTCAGTGAGCTTGATAAGAGCAGTGCCTTCTCTGAAGGGAATGTAGACTACTGTATTTGGATTTATCCTCCCCACCTGTAGATTTTTTTGGGCTCAGCCCAAAACACCTTTTATTCTTTTTCGGCTTTATGCAAGCTACCAGACTATGAGCTGGGTCAGCAGAGATGCAGATGGTACATCCTGGCCTGATGCTTACAGGTGTGGTAGCCTCTGGAAAAAGGCAGGGCAGAACATTGCGACAGCAGCTGTGAGTGTTGCCACAACTGAATCTGCCAGAGCTGTAAGGGAGCAAGGAATCTGGCTTCAAACAAGGAATCTGATTTAATTCTTGCATTGTTTCCACGTCTGTGTAATCTTCTCATCTCCCATAGCTGTGCCTGGGAGAACAGAAAACTGCTCTCAGTGTTGGGACCTGACCTGTGAGATCTCTGGCTTGTGCTACTCAGTCTGTGAATTCCTCCCGAATAAATGTACCTCTTACCTTTCTGTGTGTGGCAAACCAAAATAAATGACACATAAGCTCTAAAGAAATGCATTTTGTTGGCTAGGCCAGTGGTGTGCATGGTAAGAAGCAATGCCTGACTGACATGTGCCCAGCAGACAAATCTAATCATCGTTTGAATTGACTCAAACTATAGCCTGTGCCTCTGTGTCAAGGCATCTCATGCTAACTGAGACCTGTTGAGGGAAGAGAATTAACTTATACAATGAATTCTTACTAAAATAAAGGTTATACCAAAGCTTGTATTCCACATCTAATTAAATATTTTCCTAATGCAGTATACCCATTTATATTATGTGAAGCCTGACTTTAGTCTCCTGGGAGCAAGCCAGTAAAGAATAGCATTACAAATATTTATTTACTTCTCTTGTCCCTTGCTGGCTTTATTTTAATGGGTGTGCAAAACCGCATGAAAGCTACAGGGGAGAAAAAGCCCCCCGGGAAACCCTTTGTATGGGGATGAATTGGAAAAACAAACTCTAGGGTGCTCATTTGCCATGAATCGCTTTTCACATCACGTGCGGAAAATGAATGAGGCGTCTGTGAATCTAATTCCCTTTGTCCCAGTTGTAAAGCAGATCCACACAATAGGAGAGGCACAAGGCCAGAAAAGCAAGAGGTGGAAAGCAGGCAGCATTCAGTGAATTCATTTTCAGTCGTTCCAGTGCCGCTTGCTCCTTTTCTTCTCTACAGATTTAAAGAACAAACAAAACCCTATGGTCCCTGGGAAATGCCTCTGTTAAGTGCTGCTGCTGAAGTCTTGCTAAGCACAGTGGCTATAGCAGAGAACACGGATCCTTCCCACTGTCACGCTGGGTCCCTTGTCGCTCCAAATGGGGGGACAGAAAGCCCATCGCCACAGTCTTGCCACACATTAGGAAAACAGCAGATCAGTACACTGAAGAGTCTGTGTTGTCCCAGTGGTAAAAAAAGATAAAGATCTAGGGTCTTCCTTTTTTTTTTTTTTTTTAACTTCAAGATAAAAATTCTAGTAATCTCTTTCATGCTGAACTGGATTTTTGACAGCTGCTTATTATTCTGAATTAGGTTACATTGTTTCCTCTTTATTATCTTCTATCTAAATACAGTTAGATTTGTGTGTGTGTCAACCAAACCAGCTATTTTTGAAAGACTGAAAAACCCAGTGCTGGCTTGGGACCACTCACTGCCTGGCTTATAAGCCCCTCTCACTGCGCAAGAACGACTTTGTTGCCCAGCTAAAAGGAAAATGGAAATTTTAAGTCTCACCACAGCTTTTGTAATGTATTTCCAAGTCGTCCTCTTTGCAGACTGTGTGCATAGGCCATTCTGTGCTGGCATTGATGTAAAGCAGGACAAAGATGAGAACAAGAACATTTGATGTCTTCATGGTGGTGGTGCTAGTTTGCAGGATTACTTCTCTGTCTCTTGCTAACCCTCTGTGGAGGGAGGTGTTCCTTCCTTTCTCCAAGGGAGACAGGAGTTACCACATTAGTGCCTGCAGAAGTGTTAAGCAAGCCAATGCAGCCTTAGCTTACCACAACGTGGTATAAACAAGAGGCTAATCAGAATTGGAGGGTGCTATTTCCGTGTGCTTAGACTTCTGCTTTCTGCTTCATGTTAGCTTAAACTAATGACAAATGAGCTAATCACACCTACTCACTGCACAGCAAAGCCCAGCCTCGGTGCCTACTGGAACAATACAGCAAACTGTTTATAGTTTTTATCTCACTGCCAGTTTCTTCTCTTGAAGTCAAAGCATTTGGGTCAAGACTTCAGACAGGCTTATTTAGCCCTTCTGGCTGCAAAACATTGCAATTCAAATTGCCCCATCTTAATCAAACAAAGTCAGACCAAGTTTTGCAAGGTGGACAGTTTTGGTTTCTACGTTCTTAGTAACAAATCTGTCTGCTAGAGGGAAGGGAGGTGCGTCTGATGAAGCTGACGTCAAATAAGCAAGCCTTGAAACTTTTGGAATGAACCCTTTCTGCCTGACTATGCTAACTCATGTTTATTTTGTTGAATAGTTCTTAGGAATGTGCTATTTAACAGTATACCAAATCAGGTAAATCTAAACTTAATTCTTTTTTCTTCTGTCTTCCCAGTTATTTAACTGCCTGCTAGTGACACTGTGCACTTGTTATTTGCACTAGGGTTTTTTTTAAAGCTATGCTTTACACAAAAATTAGTGGCTGTTGCAGATGTCAGGGAATGATCTGTAAGGAAGGGAGGGAGGGTTGCTGCATCTCCAGTAAACTTCTCCAATTCAGCTTAAGGTCCAGGATTGGAATAGAAATTCAAACTGCGGTTGCCAAAAAGTTCTTTCCTGGACACAGCACCAACTGGAAAAAAGCTACAAGCTAAATTCAACCCCAAAGCAAATGTCTGCAATAGTCTTCTCTGAGCTGGAGACAAGGAGAAGTTGGCCTGGCAGAGTTGGATGAAAGATCACTTTGACCATCTTGGTCTTTTTTTGCTCTGAAGGCTGTGAGTATCGTTTGCTCTGCCATTGAGTAACACTGAAGAGGGGAAAGCCTATGTACTTTAGCAACCAGGAGAGCACCTAACAAGATAACTATGAAGTAATGCTCAACAGTAGAGCTGTTCTTCAGGCAAAATCCTGGCCCAAACAAAGGTAATTAAAGTAATCCCATAGATTAAAGAAGGGGCCAATATTTCAACCATGATGTATTAAATTTAAAAGCCAATTTGATGCAGTCCAAGAGACCTTGCTTTGAATAATGAGGCTTAGGCTCATTACTGCTTCATGGTTTTGGATACTATTATAATGGTAAATTATATGTCCAGGGCCAGGGTGAGACTCCAGGCAATACTCCTTAGGCATGGAACATGTACGAGGCACGTAAAGAGATTTGGGTTACAGAGCTGTCTGGTTTGACTGGACTTTGGTTGTAGCCAGCTGATAGTGTTGATGAAAGCAAGTGTTAACTGCAAAGGGAATAGTAAGGGGAGGCAATCTCTAGGATTGCTGTAATATGTTTAAACTAGATCACATAAAGTAGAAATCCCTTCCCACTAAGGTCTACAAAGACAGAGAAAATTGGATATAGCAATTATTACAAAATGAAAAGTACTTCAGATCAGGACTGTGAGAACATAATCTCCAGGTTTTGGTTTTTTCTAGGAATAAAATCATCATGGTCCTTCATTTAAAATGTCAGCTTAATGCTCAATAACAATGAGTGAAGCAAGCCAAATGATAGGGCAAATGCTTTAAAGAGAGACCCACTGGGAATCGCTAAATAAACCAAATCAGGCTCAGGACCTCTCCTGAGATGAAAATCATTAGAAGCTGGGAAAACACATGGGAGAAATACCATACATGCTCTTACTCTTCTCTGCATGCCTGCTTGTCCACATTGCTGGGAACAGGTTACTGGGTTAAATGGAGCACTGGTCTGGACTAGAAGGGTTTACCTGGATGCTGGTCTTGTTCTTTACCTCCCTTTCCCACTGCCCACCCTATCCTCCTTGTAACAGTGTTGCTGGTGCTCATGGCTTTCAAATTGATGACTTGCAGCAGTCTTTTGCCTTTGCAGAAGCCCTGTGGTAGCTGCTTGGCAAATATCTTGGAGTCTGGGCCTTGCCTTGCAGAGATTTTGGTCCAAGCACAAGCATACAGCCCAAGAAAGTGGAACAACACTGGACTTCTGGATACAAGTCTTCCTGCTTCACTGAAAGCAGGATGGCTGGGGTAGATTTCCTAGCGGAAACCAAACACGACTTTGTAGATGAGCTCAGGAGCTCGGCTATACACAGTCAAGTGTCTGCACAGTTTCCCCGTCTGGTGCATAGACTCTCTCTTGCTCTTTTGAGACAGCTACTTCATCCTTTTTTTTGGCAGTGCTCCTGACACTGACTCAAAATGACAAGTCACAAGATTTTTTTTTTTGTGGGTGCGAGGTTGGAATATGTCTGAAGTAGTTTTTGGGTAGCCAATGTTCTGAGGGGAAACAGCCACGATAGCTAATGTTTTGGAAAGCTGTGCTGTCGCTTCCACTTTGCCCCACCATGTTGTTCTCAGTGGGAAGGGAATTTTACTTTGAGTGTTTCAAGTTTACAATGTGTACTCCAGACACTGTTTCGCCGTTTCATTCCCTGTGTAATCCTTGTATCTCCTAGAAAGAGCTTTATTACCAACTCCATCTGTTCTGAGAACTGCTTTCCCTTCAAACAGCCGAAGCCTGTGGGATGAGAAGCTACATCTAAACGAAGTGGTATCAGTGCTGGCAGTGGGAATTCTGTTTTGGCAGGTTGCTTAGCTGGCCAACAAGCATGTTTCTTTATCTGTCTGATTGAAGGCTTTGACCACAGAGATAAGCAGCTCAAAAATGCCTGTAAGGAAAGCTATTTACTTAAAGAAGGGCAGTGACTTCATATATCCAGAGCACTCTTCACCTTGTTTGGATGCTTCTGCAGTGTTAAAGAGTGGAAAAGCCTCTTGTCCTTATCAAGAAGATTATAATATCTGTAATATAATTGGGAAGAGTAAAAGATAAAAACATAGCAGACTAGTAAGCAGGAAAATCTTACATCAATGTCTGTAACTTCTTGGGTTGGCTGATACAAGAGTGCTGATAGAACTGTATCAGCAAATCACACATACACCCCCACACCCTCCCTCAAGTAGCTTACACCACTAGCCTCTCGTACCTATAACCATAGCAAGTACCAGCTTCTTGGAGAAACTATAGCAATAAAGACGGGTTTTTTTGGTTTGTTTTTGGTGGTGTTTTGTTTTTTTTTTGTTGTTGTTCCTTGTTACTTCAGGGTCCAGTTCCCCCCTTTTAGATTGCAGTCAATATTGAGTCATAATACAGCAACATCTATTGATTACACAACATACTATTAAGTAGTCTGATCATAGATATACTATTTAATAGACACACTGTTCCTATTAATTTATGATTGTATCATTTTGCACAGTTGCAACCAAATAAAAAACTAGTTCTCATTCTCAGGTCTTATAAATCACACAATTATTTTATTATAATTCTGGCACCCTTCCCACCCATACTAGTTGGTGCCAGAGTGCAAGCCTGTCCATCTTTACTTGCCCTCACTGAGACTTTCAGGCATGGACCTGATGGAGAGTCACATAGGTTGTCTGCAGGGGTTTCCCTTCAGCGTCCTTGGTGTGCTTGGGTGCAGAGGTAGCTTCAGTGTTGTTTGTAGGTGCCTGCATTCCTACTGTAAGAAGATCCCACTCTTTTTTTTTCTTTGCCTGATTTCATGTCTTATTCTCTTTTTCTTCTGTTGCAGGACCCATCCTTTTTTTCCTAACTTTACCATGTCTTTTTCTGTACCCCAACACTCTGCAAACAAGCAGTTCACTTTTTTTTTTCCCCCTCTCCTCATTGGTCTCAATTCTGCTACAACTGTATTCAAATTTGATGTTTCCAACACCTTTACTCAGGCAGTGTTAGCCTTATGGGGTATTACTGACACAGTTGCTGAGGCACAAGCAGCCTTCTAAGACTGTGTCCCAAAACTCCCCAACAATGATCTGGTTCATACTGGTAATGCTTTTTTTTTTTTTAATTTTATATACTCACTAAGGCAAATTATTCTACTTTAGCTTTGATTCCTCTACCTACCTCCGATTAATGCAAGTAGTCTCATATCTGAGGTGCAGCCTGCGTACCAGACCAACAAAACTACATGTTTTTCATGCTCTGTTTTGTGCTCACACAGCATCCTTGCCCTTGAATTGCTTTAATTATTCTCTGGGTTCCCTGCAGAGGCTTAGCTAGTTGTGAGGCCCGGTGCTACAGCAGGGTCTCTCACTTGCATTCTTATGACTGTACCTACCCAATTACTGTTGCCAAAATAGTTATGGGCATGTTGTTTTTCCTAAGCTCCTAGCCAAGTAGTTGTGTTTGCAAAACTTTTCCAAATGTAGACCTGGGTAGTGCTTCACCTGATCTCAGTAACAAGGTTTCCTCTTAAGAGTTTCTTTTATTTAAAGATATTTTTTCCCCTCTATTGTGCAAGTCCTGTATAAGGTGAGTCCTAACCAAAGTTTAAGTTCTTTCTTTCAAGCCAAAATCTTTTTTTCTGGCCTTTCACATCTTTGTGTGCACATCTGTACAATGAAACATTTCCACAGGGAAAGCTTCGCATTAAAAGCTTGACTGATTTATCTTCCTTTTTCTTGCAATTCTCTCTGAACAAAAGCTTTCTGCTTCTTATTTCTCAGGATGGATCTGCTAGTGAAAAACAGTGAGTGAAAATTTCTGAGCAAATAGATGAGACTTTTCAGAGGAGATACATTCATTCTCTGGAAAAGTCAGCTTTTCCTACTGTGCTTGTAATAGTATATTTAATATTTTAGATAAAAAACAAGGCCTAGAAATGCAATACAAGCTAATGTGTTGCCACCACCCCCTTCCAGCTGCACCTGATAGAAGGTGAGCTTTGTTTTCTGAGATTTCTGCATTGCTGGGGGTGTAAAGTGCTAAGCATGCACAGCGTAAGCCCTTCAGGAGCAGAGACCAGCAGGCCATTGAGCCCCCGGGGCTTCTCCTTTCCACAGGGTGGGAAAGCTTCTGGGA